TATATATAGTATATAAAAAAATGAATAAAGCTAATAAAGCAGTTTATGAAAACAACTAATTTATTAAGAAATATACTTGTATTGTCTTTATGAATAATCACTTTCATTTTGTCGATTGCCGCCATCTGTATATATGGTCCAGAAATGAAATGAAGGAACGGAATTCCATCCAATCACTTATTATTGAAATAATTTGGATATTTTCGTTGTTGTTTTTTCTTAATCGTCAGCATGAAGGACGATTGACCCAGAAGATATTGAAAATATTTAATCTCCTCTGCGGACCTCGCCCTTAGTGTTCATAAGGCTGGAATAGGATGTCGAGAACCTTGTATCGCTTGGCCCATATAAACCATACATCTTTCATCAAAAGACTTTTTGGTTTTGCCATTTCTTTTAACTATTAAAAAGGGTTTCGCTATCGCAAGTTATTGTTGTTTAGCAATTTTCTATTTTGAAAATATTAAAAGCTGCATTAAATATCTAGTGATATCCCCTTTAGCAAAAAAGCTGTTAATTGATACTTTGACAGTTGTATTTGAATCAATAACCGCGGGAAGTTAATTATTTCATAGTTGTTTAATTTTAGTTTTTTATTTAAAGTTACACTTATACTTACACAATTTTTTATTTATTTTTTATTTTATTTATTTATTATTTCAAATTTATTATCATCATACAAATTTAGAGTTGAATTAATAATATATCCTATTTATCGAAAAATTAAAATAAATAAATAGTTAATTAATACTTCAAATATAAAAAAATATGTACGCTTTCAATGATTCCAGAGTATGTATATGTTTCTAAAATAATTTTTGAAAAAGAAACTTTGAATAGGAAATACTTCGTGATTATGAGCACTCATTTCCATACGATAAACAATATTTTTCCGCTTGCCAATGCAACACTGTATAGTTCTAAAGTGGACACGCTCAAGACGAAAAACTTTTAGCGGCGAATTCTTACCAAGAATACGGCGAAAAATTCAAAATGACGCATGCGTTGCAAAATTTTTACTTGCCAAAAAATTGATGAGCGAATCGGAGGTGCAGCAAACTAGTAAAAAGGGAACTAGCAGAATTGTGAAAATAAGTGTCTAAATGTTGGTCAATTTATTTTAAATTTCAAATATTTTTCTCGTGGAATAAAAGGTAAAGTTGTTTCTGTCGAGAATATATTTGAAAGAAAATCTACGTGGACAATTTTGAACTGTAAAACACACAAGTAGAAGAAGAACGATCAGAAAGTAGCTGAAGAAAAGCGCAGTAGCAGCATTATTGGCAGGGACCGAATCGCATTAGTTACCTGTGAAGAAAAAAAAAATTTAGCGAAACATATTAGCCGTCAAACTTGGAAGTGTATAGTGAGGAAAAGAAATAAAATTTTAAATATATAAAAGTATACCCACAAACTTTAGTGGCTTTTTTGAGATATCGTTAATATAAAAACAGCAAAACGGCAGCGACTACAACAACTACTACTACGCCACCAGATTCGACAATGGAGAAGCCGAAGGAATTGATCATTGAGCCAAAAGGCGAACTGCGCTTTGTAGGTAAGTTTGTGAACCCATTAGGAAAAGACTACAATTAAGACAGCAATAGTATGGGGAATGGAAGCCGACACTTTCGTCGAAGCATGTAGGAGACGTCTGTCAAATGGCAATACGAAAAGCGAATGTTTATTTTCCATGGTATGGACCAAAAGCCAAACTTAACTATATTGCGCACATTCAAATCCAAAGTCTAAATTTAAAGGTTACTAATTTCTATTGAATCATAGTCAACATTCTTAGCTTTCATTTGTGTGCTTATATTCAAATAGTTAGTGAAAATTGCCAGTAATTGCTTCATTTGAAATGAGGTACTCGCCGAAGTTATTGTATTAGATGTTTTTGCCCTTACATTTAACAAATTAATTTATCAACAATTTTGCTTTGTATTTTCTCTACGACATTTGGACTCAACTTTAATTCATTTGCATATGGCTTTTGTACCCTGCAACTAGTTCGATAGTCATCTATCTTCCAAAACAAATGTGAAAATGCTAAAAGTTGCAAAATCTATTATCGTTTTCATGAATCTGCAGTATTGCTCACTTTTTACTCCTTGAATACCTTATCGTCACTGCTTTGCTAAATCGCATGATTCACGCATGAGTTAAATAGACATAGATTGTTTGGTGAATATGTGATAATATTTAAGGCCTTGCTATATATTAATCTGTATGTACGTAAAAATTTGCAAATATACATGRAGTATTTCTTAGTAGTTATTAAAACTTTACAGTTTTGTTTTGCAATTTCTGAGCCACTCTTTCATCGAACCAGATGTTATTGCACATAGGTCTCTTGWAATGATCCCTAAATAATTGATTCCTAGCAACCTCGAAATTCACTTTCTACCCAAATTAGCACAGCGCATACTAAATTCCATACTTTTTTTTTAAATATGATTAAAATGCATTACATGATTTGTTTCTAGAGATATTGTCATCATATTCTATACAAGTGAATGTGTTTTTATTGCTTTTTGTACGGTGAGCGATTTGCCGGTTTTGATAATAATTTTAATATTAGCCGGTGGTATCAGTCAACAATTAATATATATGTGTATTTGGTTGCAGTGCAGTCGTAAGTAAATAAAAATCACTAGCGTTTCATCATTTCGTTGTATAAATCGCGTCTCAAAAACATATTTTAGCTACATTTTTATATTTTTCATTCTTACTTGCATATATGTATATATGAGTTAATATTTCGAAACACAACAGAAAATGGTTCTAACTAGAAATTTATTTGCATGAAGCATTGGTTGTTGGTTTGTATTGTTGGAATTATCTGTATGTATTTTTGAAATCTAGCCAAAAAATTAAAATTTGTACATATTTTACGTTATATGTACCCATTATATACATATGTATATACAGTTGTCCACAAAAAAATAGTAGCGGCCACAACGAAACTAATCTTAATATTTTCCATAAGAAAACTGTTTTTGTCGCAAAATGTTTGTTATTTTACGGTTTCAAACCTTTACAGAATTATAAAATAAATCATATTTCATTGAATCGATTTAGGTTTTTTTTAACTGAGTGTCAAGCTTCATCTTTGAGATCCAGGCAACGTTCGAATGAGTCCTTCCCACACCTTCATTACCTGCCACAAATTTTTCAAATTGGTAGGTTTCGTTAGCAGTTTTTTTAAAATCGAGCTTGACTTTTTTTCATGGAATTGAGGCAAGGAAACTGCACAGATTGACGGTTATCTCAGCTCCGTTAACTCTACAACCACTTCTTTACGCATTTGACGATATGTTTGGGATCACAAATATGTTGTATTCCCTCAGACATGTGGTAACATTACCTCATAATATTTTCACATATGGCACTTACTCTAGGAAGCCTATAGGGATCATCTGTCTGCAATGGGTTTTTACCGCTATTGTAACTCATCATTAACGTGTGATCCACAAAAATTATGCAGTAAAATACATTTTTCATATTGGCACTCCTATTATTCTGTGGACAACTGTAAGTATGTATTAAATGCAATTTTTTCGACGGTCCTGAAAAGTATATGTTTAATTTTTTTTTTTTTAAAGATAGATATGTATTTGTACGTATATGAAAAATGATGATACGGGAAAGTAATATAAAATGTCTAAAGTAAAAAACGAAATTATACATAAATACGTACGAACGCGTACTAATTTTTGTATACAGTGCCGGAAATGGCAGTTTAAAATAAAAACTTATTTTAACAGTATTCGTTATATAAAGAATATTTGTGCTTTAGTAATAAAATAACCCAATTATGTATATAATTCTTAATATAATTCAAAGAACAAATGAAGCAAAAATTTTTCTTTGMAGCTATGAATTTGTTTTGTTAATGAAATTTACTTATGTCATTTTAGTAATATTTTTGAACCAAAAGATGTTTAAATTTTGTGACTTTCGGCAGTAAAAGTGACAAGACATACTGATATACCGCTACTTTATTATGTACATGCGAACACTCATAACAAAAGCAATTAAAAAATTTGCAATTCAAAACATTTGCAAAATTTGTTCATTATTCTAAATTCTTCAATTATGCTCATCTACATTACAATTATGTGTGTCTATTTCATTTAGACAACCACAATTTGGGTAAAAATCGATTTTTAATTTGTTTGTTTGAAAACAATAAGATTCTAGGGTGAGGGTGCCAGGCGAACAGCAAGTAAATCTTTAAACTTTGACTGTTCAAACAACGAATTAAGCGCGCCACACATCACTAAACTAGTTGACGGCTGAGTATTGCCGAATGTAGCAAGAATGGCGACGGAGCATGAAAATTTGTTGAGTAATAAAGCACAACGACACCGCATGGTGTATAAAAAAAATATTAGTCAAACGTCTCAAACGCATTCTGACAAAATGACGCAATGAAAGCAGTGTGAGCGTATTCCTCAAATGCTCAGCTGTCGGCAATAAACTGCACATTTTCATGCAAGCATACACGGAATACGTATGTAAATACAAGGGCAGTGCGGATTTACGGAATGTTTGGGGCTAAAAACCTACCGCATTACAACATATATATATATTTTATTTAAATAGAGAAAATATAAATCATCTTTTTTACACATAAGTGAACTCTGTTACTTTAGATATGTACACCATCACCCTACTAAAACCATACATGTGTTATTTACTCTCCCCTTTTCATACAATATTTAGCATAAAAACATATTTTTCTAAGATGATAGGCTTTTACTATGGCAGGTTTCAAATTACCGACTTTAGATTTAACAGGCCACAAAAGTAACGAATTCGTGTAAAGTCGGCACTAACGGTTGCACGAAGTAGGTCGTATAGGTAATACATATTTAGGAATATGCATATTACTAGTTTCGTTCTTACAAAACGTTGAAGACGAACTAAATGTTTCTTTGGTAATTTTTATGCATATGCATATCTGTATGTACATACATGTATGTATGTATCTACCTAAATGTAACTCACCCTTAGCTATAATCTAACCACTGTCRCCCACTATACAATTGTATTTTGCTTATTGTTGCTAGTTGCTACTTGAACAGAGGACAACCGCGTTAGGACGAGGGCAAAGCCAATCGAAACATATCGCTACTTGTACACCTTGAACGAAATATAGATCTGTAGTTAAAAAAAAAAAAAAAAGTATGAAAAAGAACAATAACCAAAGAAAGCCGATGTTTATTTTCCTCTTTCATTTCATTGTATTCGCCATCATTTCTTTTGTTGTGAATTTGTTTTGTGCCAACCGCTTTGAGTTAAGTGTTCCAGCAGATAGCTGAATTGACTTAGTTATTCTATATTGTCTTATTTCTATTCAAACCCAGATTTCATTACACCACAAAATCCTTGCTTATGCCCTGGTAATAAAATTAAAAGTTTATTTAATTAAGAAATACTTTTGTACAATTTTTAAAGAAATTTGTTCTTTATTAATATTATGTGGCAGAAGTGTACTAAAATTGTTTAGCTTTCTAAAAATGCAGTTTTATATGTTTAGCAATACTTATCACCTAACGGGTTTTACCGTGTCATATTAATTAGTAATTTGTATGTGAGCAGCATAAAGTGTACAACATATTTATTTCAAATTCATATTTTGATAGCTAAAAATAATTTTGGCTTCTTTTTAGTTACTTCTAGTTGACCAATAATTCTACAAAATATCCCAACTATTATTTTTCCGGAATGAAAATGTTAAAATTAAGGGTCATCCACATACTACGCAAACCCTTCTTCAAACATCGATAGGAAAATTAAACTTTCTCCTCCACCTTATGGTTTGTGTGCACTCCCTAAACGTCTGCAAACATGTTTTTCAGTAACATTAATTCTATATTGAGGTAATACTTGACCACGCAGTAATTTCTTTGGCATGTGCAAATGAACCCATTATGAAATTATGTGTAAGATCATACACATATCAAACAATCCCTGCAATTAACGTTTATTATTAGCAAATTTGTTTTCTTTTCTTGAGGTCAAATGTTTTCCCAATCAGAATGTAAACAATAAGTGTTGCCAGTTTTGAATTATTTGATAAACTATTGGTTTAAACTTTAATTATAAACCATTCGTTTTTACTGATTTTGAAAAGCGTTTACTCACCCTCATATATAAATTTAAAATTAAATGTCACATACTTACAAACACAAACATTATATTGCGATTTGATAAGTTTGAAATAATTACGTTTAACATTCGGACAACTACTTTGTGAAAGTTGGTAGGTTGAAACCTTGGCACACTACATACCTATGCACTTCAATACATATATAGAATATAATCGTTACCATATACATTGTCACAGCTGGTAATTATTACCATGTTATTTCCCCTTTTTGGCTCTGGCATTTTTCCATAATCTATCAATAATCTAAATTGAAAAAAAAAAATGATAATAATCTCCGCGCGTTTTTATTATTATTTGACAGGTGTTTAAAGCTCATTCAAGCGTATGCAGTAATGAGTTAGAAAATTTGACGGAAGTTAATACACCCATCGAAATATTTATAAAGCCACTTTAAGCTCAATAATGAAAGAAAAACCTATAATTTTTTCATTATTTATTATTTTTTCGAATAAATATATAATTCAATTAATGTTATGCTTAGTTTTAGGAAAAATAAATAAATTATGCAAGTTTCTCAAACATAATATAAATAACCCGAACGAAATAATTATAAAGACACTTTGATTATGCATTATATTTTTGGTATTTAAGAGAAAAATTAAATGTTTAATAAGATGTGTGACCTCCATTGTTAGCAATAACTTCTTCCAAACGTCTGGTCATAGAATTAATTAAAGAATCGATAACGGTTTGATCAATTGTTTCCCATTTTTCAACGACGGCATTTCTTAGCCATTTTACGTTATCAAATTGCCGTCCCTCTTCGAAAGCCTTGGCTGATAACACGGACCAAAGATTTTCAATAGGGTTTAGGTCGCGGCTAATTGCAGGCCACTCGAGAAATGTAATATTCCGAGCCAGCAAGAAATCAACTGCTTTCGTGGAACGATGTACCGCTGCATTGTCTTGCTCAAAAATTAATGCATTTCCAACAAATTCCTCTCCGAAGTCAATAAAAACTTCATTCAGTAACTTAATGTAGTATTCCGAGTCCATTTTTGTTGTTACAAAGCAAACTGGAGTTTTCCCTCTGGAAGTTATCCCAGCCCAAACCATGAGTGATCCGCCACCGAAATTTCGCCGCTTACATTTCTGCCTAGTAGACTCTATGGGCCTCCAATATTTTTGGAGACCTTCCGGGTCTCCCACTCGTCCCAAAAGTGATATTTTTCGGCGAAACGAAGCCTGGCCAATTTGTGTTTTTCAGTCAGTGACGGTTTGGCGCATTTTTTATCATAAATACAATCTAATTCACATTTAAATATTTGTTGTACTCGTCGTACTCCTATGTCCAAATTAGCTTGCTGTTTTATTTGTCTCGCACTCACATTTTCCTGCATGATAAGTCGTTTAATGCTACGTTTTTGCCTTTCGTTCACTTTTGGAGTCCTCCCACTTTTCTTATTTTTTCCATAATTGGTGCCTAATTTTAAAAAATTTCCTACAATATCCTTCGATTCGGTTCTTGTTAAATATACACCGCCTACTGTGATTAAAATATTAAATGAATATGAAATAATTCAAACGTCTTGCCGTATAGTTAAAATGCAGAATCTGTGGACGCTTACACCAATTTTTCTAAGAAAAATATGAAATTTGAGGGTGGCTTTATAAATATTTCGCTGAGTGTATTAGACAATTGCAAGTTGTGTATAGTTTTGTTATTTAAAAGTTAGATACATTCGTGTATTTCATAGTTATTACAATAAATTATGTTCCGCACATAAAAAGTCGAAAACAGTTGATGAAACAACCAAAATAACAGCGGGGTAAATGTATTGAATATTCAAGAGCGTAAATTAATAAGATACATTTTCTTTTTGCATATAATTATATGGTCATATTAATTATTGATCTTATTTAGTTGAATATTTAATTATTTTATAATAATTTCTTTATTTACAGGTCCCTTTACTCGTCCCGTTATCACTGTTATGAAAATAACCAATCCAACAGATAACATTATACTGTTCAAGATCAAAACGACCGCTCCAAAACGATATTGTGTGCGTCCAAATTTCGGTTCACTCGAACCACATACGCATGCCAGGATTGAAAGTAAGTTACCGAAATACAAATATATACAATTCCTTCGAAATCTCTTATTTTTCTAACACTTTCAGTTTGTTTACAACCTTTTGTGTATGATCCCAACGACAAAAATAAGCATAAGTTCATGGTACAGAGCTTGGTTGTGCTCGATCACTCCGTTGAAGACTGGAACAAGTTGGTGAGTAAATGAAGCGTAATTGATTAAACAAATAGCTTGCAATTTAGTCATTTAGACTTGTTGGTGACAATTTTAACACGCTCGTTTTTTTATATTTTGCTTTAGTGGAAAGAGTCAGAACCACATCAATTGATGGATGTGAAATTGAAATGTGTCTTCGAGATGCCAACTGTAACGTCAGCCGCAGACAGCAGTGTTACTGCAGGTAGCATGCAATTAAACAATTTAAATGCTCAAGTATTTTATTTAATAAATGTTAATTTTTTTTACTTTCTAATAGGCGCCAATGAAATTGTAAAGCAAGAAATTACTGAGACAGAAAATAAAGCAATTCCATTTCGCGAAGAGAAAGTAAGTTGTAACAATAACTGTTACAATTGCTTCTAATTTAATTTTAATGCTTATAGGTATCAAATGTGCAACCATCGGATCAACGGGAAGAGTTATTGTCCGACATTAGGCGGCTGCGTGAAGACAATGAGAAATTGCTCAGAGAGAAGCGTCATCTTACGGTAATTTTTATATTTCTGATTTTTCAGAGAGCACATAACTTATACAGATTATGCGAGAACAGCTGTTACAATTATTGAAAGACGTATATTGTAAAAGCTTTATTTCTTTAGGATGAAATCGTTAAAGTACGGGATTCATATTCGAAACCGATGTACGATCAGGCCTATACACCTATTCTGGGCGAGAAACAAATTCCGGTGTTCTATATAGCATTGTCGATTGTTGCGGCCATATTTGGCTTTCTATTTGGCAAATATTTTTGAATGCATACAACGCATACAAAACTCTGAAGTGCTGACATGTTTATCAATAAAAACAACAACTACATAAAATGAGAAACGGCGTCATACACAAACAGATAAACGAAGGAAACGAAACTAAAAATGAAACTTATATATAAAACCCAGCAACAGTATAAAAGTAAAAATAAAAAACAGCAAAACTTAGAAAGGAGGAAATGAGCAAATGATTAAAGATAAACATAAAGAAAAACCAACAAAATTAAAAAAAAAAAAATAAGAAAACAAAACAGATACAAAATTAATGAGAATTGTTGAAAGTTTGTTTTGAAATGCATGTAACCATAAACATAAATGGGCATAAGCATTCAAATGTACGAAAAAACTTGAGAGAAAAATCAGTTAAACTAAGAAACACTATGATTTGCAATTAAAGAAACAAAACAAACGCGCTAAATAATAATAACAGTCAAAGTATCACATTTATAATGAAATAGCAAGCAAATATGTAAAAAGCTCGGTGTAAGGTAGACAAAAGAACGGTGACTGAACATATGCAAGTGTGTAAGGAGGGCAGTTCAAAATCTACAAATTGTGTGTGTTTTTGTGTAAACGCTTGCAGAATACACTTTTTTTTTTAGTATAGCCAAAGGGCACCGATTGAACGCTGGCACGGCATTTATTCATAACTTTATATTATATAGCAACAAGTGAAAAGGATTAAAACAACTACAAAACAATTACATATAAAAAAGAAATGAATAATTAAATATTTAAAAAATATGCACTATATAAAGCGTTAGGTTTAATATTTTATTGTATGTTTTTGGATCATGCTTGTATAAATATAGTAGCAAACAAAACGCTGTAGCAGGGTCTTTACCATTGAGACTATTTACTGAATAGAATAAAGAAGTACTAATTAATTTGCCTTTGCAGAAACGAAAACTTTTTCGCATATTAATATATTATTAGCATACGTAGCTCTAACAGTGAAACCCATAATTTCTGGCATTAAGCAGTTTTTGTTCTAAATGTTTTTTTTTTTTTCTTTTGCTGTTTTGTTTTAAACATTTCCTAAGTTAACATGCATACATTCAAATATAAACACAAATAAACATTATATTCGAGCTTTGCCGATATTGAATTTAATAAGCAAATCTAATAAATGTGGGAATATACAACATATAAATTGTAAGTGTGTATTGTTTCCTAACTACAGAATTTGTGGGTCGCACCCTGAAATGTATGCTTACCAATTCTTTTTGTTTTTAAATAGGTTTTAGTTGTTCTCGCCCTGCCCCAGTGCGCTTAATAAATTTAATTGTTTTCACATGTGTAGCGTTCTACGGAACATGAAAGTTAATAAATAGGTACGCTTAAACCAAAATCTGCATTCGAACGCTGTTCAGTATTTGCACTTAGACTGTGTTTACTTGCTCTCCCCCAACTAAATACGCCATAGTAAAGATGTATTCAACGGTTAGCCATCTGTTAGTTTCTTGAAACAGTTTTTGTTCTTAATACTAATTAAAATAATTTTATTCAAATTTTGTGTAATTTTGTTGTTGGAACTATAAAAATGCTTCGGTTACTTCGAATTATCATTAGCGTTGTTTTATATTTAATTCTCATTTAATTTTAATATATTATATGCTTTTGCCGAAATGTATGTATGTATGTATTTTCTTGTGGTAATTTCTCACTTTTAAGTAAATAAATACTTCATTTTAATTAAAA